TGTAGTTTGGCTGGTGCATAGGGAGATTACTGATGCCATAAACAGGAGTGTCAATTGGTAAAGTCAACAACAGGAGTCACTGTGCACTTACTCCTCATGTAGGATCTCTGTCCTTAACGTGCTGTACACTGAGGCTTAATGCTATAACGAGTACTCAAACAGTATATTTCACTTTGTGTTTCTATGGGGGTGCAAACGACTGAAATCTTTACTTAATGTACACTAAACTGATCTTCTGTAAAAAAAAAAAAAAAAAAAAAAAAAAGAAAGAAAGAAATTATCAATTCCCAACTTGACTCTCACTGGGATTAAACATGACAATAGGTCTGATCTGATTTCATCATCATTTAAAAAAATCATCTATTATTTTTCACTTTATGTTTCTGTGTGGGAGCAAACTGTTGAAATACTTACTTAAGGTATACTAAGCTGATCTTCTGTATATTAAGATAATCGAAAATGAATCTTGATGTGAATGGAAGGGGAGAGGGAGTGGGAAAGGGGAGGGTTGTGGGTGGGAGGGACGGTATGGGGGGGGGAAGCCATTGTAACACATGAGTCGTACTTTGGAAATTTATATTCATTAAATAAAAGATTAAAAAAAAAATGTAGTTTGGGACACCCGTCCTCTTTCTGAGTGCCCAGCTGGAGTCCTGGTTCTGCTCTCAAGTCCAGCTTCCTGTTAATGCAGACCCTTGGAGGCAGCAAGTGATGGCTCAAGTCTCTGGATCCCTGCTGCTAATGTGGGAGACCTGGACTGAACATCCAGCTTCCTGGCATTTGGGGAGTTAACCTGCAGATGGGGGGGATCTCTCTCTCTCTCTCTTTCTCTCTCTACCTTTTGCCTGCTAGAACCCCTCCAACAGATTTCCCATCATAGTAGAATAAAGTCTTACCCTAGCCTTCAAGCCTCTACACAGGCCTCTCATTACGCTCCTACTTCATGACCACTCTCCTCCTTGAATTTTCCCTGTATCCCTGATGTCTTTCTTGCTCTCCCTCAAACACACCAAGTTTACCTTTAATTTGAGTTTTGCCCTATTGTTCTTCACCTTCCCTAGATCATTACAAGGCTGACTCCCTCCTACTGAATGACAGCCTGGGTTTAAATGTTATCTCTTCAGTAAAGGTGGTAACTCAACCCAAAGGAACATTCCTTTCCTGCCACTTCCTATCAAATCACCCTATTTTTTAACACAATACTTATTGCTAACTGATCTTTTTGATCATGAATTTATTTAGGGTCTGCTTCCATAAGTGTTCCAATGACTTTGTTCTTTCTACTCATTATTCTATTTCTAGCAAGACTATCCCCAGCAACGTGTGAACTCAGGGCAGTCCCACCAAACAGGACCTAGCCAAGACAGTCATAGTGAAAAGGGGCCAGCCACACTGTCAGTATCCTTCACAGGCTCCTGGAAATATCATTAAAGACAGATGTTTTCAGTGATGTTCAGAAAAGGGAGGTAAAGTGTAGCATCCTGGACACTGTCCGCAAACCTGTGGAACAGAGCCTGTAACATAAAATGCTTCTGGAATGAATGAACATAAGGATTCAAATGAGGTAACTTAAGTTCCTGATTACATTAGCCACTCAATAAGCATTAGGTACCTTCTTAGAGATTCAGAGATTCAGTTTTTTGTTTTTGTTTTTGTTTTTTTCCAGGCAGAGTTAGACAGTGAGAGAGAAAGAGAGAGAGAATTAAAGATTACAGACAGTGAGAGAGAGATAGAGAGAAAGGTCTTCCTTCCATTGGTTCACTCCCCTAAAGGCCACTACGGCCGGCGTTACGCCAATCCAAAGCCAGGAGCTGGGTACTTCCTCCCCGTCTCCCATGCGGGTACAGGGGCCCAAGCACTTGGGCCATCCTCCACTGCCCTCCTGGGCCACAGCAGAGAGCTGGACTGGAAGAGGAGCAACTGGGACTAGTACCCGGCACCCCCACCAGGACTAGAACCCGGGGTGCCGGCACCGCAGGCAGAGGATTAGCCAAGTGAGCCACGGCGCCGGCAGAGATTCAGTTTCTAATAATCACAAAAAAAGCAAGAGAGGGGATACTAAGTGTTCCGTGAGATCTTTTCCAATTCTATCCTTCCTTTTTTTTTTTTTTTTTATTGCAGTAGTAAGCAAAGTAGCAAGGTTTATTGGGGTTAGGGCGCCTGTCAGAATGGATGGAGCAGGATCGGAGAGTGCCCAATCACTCAGACTGGGGAAAGCAAGGTTACATGGTTAAATGGAGATTGTGGCTTATAAGGGAAAAGATCCAGCTGCTGTTTCTCCTTCCCCTCATTCTCCATGACAAAGAAAATTCCTCCCAGGTTTTACTACTCAGTGCTATTGGGCTGGGTAGCCCACCTGGCACCAGGCATAAGTGCTCCCCCTAGGGTGCCTGCCTTGGAGGAAGGCTGTGAAGGTTTTATTGCTCCATGTTCTCAGGCCAGGTAACCCAACTGGTGTTGAGGAAGCCTTCCTTCATTTTTCAGTTATGTTATTTCATTCATACATTAAAGAAACATTTACCTGAGAACCTACTATATGCCAAGAGTTCTAGCCACTGAATGTATACTAATGAACAAGTTGGGCATAGTTCCTGTCCTGCTGGCACTTACAAGCCGCAATTATACATTAGAAATTACTAATACAGTTTTTAAAGTTCATATATTAAACACAAAAATAAATGCATAACTATAAATTATAAACACCATGGTTTCACGAGATTGAGTTACTAAAAGTAAAGAGATAAAGAGGAAAGTGGAGAGACAGGTGGAAAAGTGGAACTAATTCTAGGAGATCAGTCACCTGCTTCATTTACTAGTCTTGCCAGGCCTCCTTTCTTGTCAGTGCTCCTTTTACATTGACAAGCACAACTTCCCCACCACTGATGGCCAATACCAGACTCTCATTCTATTCAGGGACTCTGAAGCACAACCTGAAAATGGGAAATGATATGCCAATTTCCTCAACTATCAACAGCAACAAAATTCAACTTTCTAATAAAGCCTATATTACAGTGGTTAAGAATTCAGGTTCTAGGGTCAGACAGCTGGGTTCGAATCCCTGCTCCACCACTTAATCTTATGAAAATTATATAAACAACTCAACTTCTGTTTCCTCTTTAGGTAAATGAAAAAGTCATCAACTGTTCCTCGGGGCTACCGTGAGGACAAATGGCAAGGGCGCGAGGGTGCAGGGCACTGTGGCAGTACCTCACTACCGTGACTGATCCATCGTATCAGCCCATGAGTGGTCCCTTCACAGTGGTCTCTACATCACAACGCGCCTACTGGAAACAAAACCTACACATATGGGATGCACTATAGGTTTTTCCTTTCTTCTTTACTATGTTTTTGGCTAGTTCTTGTCATTGCATCCAGCTTCTTAGTCATTATCCCATTTTCAGCAAGAATTTAAATAAAAACAAGAGGTCACAGAACTGGAAGCAAGCTCATCCACTATCTTTGGAATCACAGGCATAAAAATAGACTGAAATGAAAGTAGACAAAAAAAGAGAAGGCGGTGAAGCTTCTCAATATAGTGTCTCTGATTGACCATTTTTTAGAGATCCAAACTGCCACCCAGGGTGAAAATGGGAGTACATCAAGAGGATGTTACACCAAGGCCTCAGTTATAAATAATCATCATATTCACAGGCTGAGCATATCTCACAAGCCAAATGAAGTCTGAAAGAACTCAGCGTTCTTAACAGTCTGATAGCATAGACATCATCAATGCCATCAATGAACAATGAATAGCTTCTTCCTAAAAAAATAAATGAAACTTCAAGAGAAATAATTTTAATTACATTGCTTAGAGAAATATCTAACATTTACAGAACACAGCAAAAACTGCCAACATGCTTCCAGTTATGGGGTCTCATTGGATTCCCTCTACAGATAAGGAAACAAAAGATCTGAGAATTTAAGATACTTGTCATGATGCCACACAGTAAAGTAGAAATTCAAACCCAAATCATCTAAGGCAGGAATTCTTTCCCTGCAGATGCCTAGTAAGCTCTGCTTCAGTGAACGGCACCATTAAAAAGAACTATACAGTTTGACTAAATAAGTATGACTTAGCCTAAATGAATATACATCTTTAAGAGGGGAAGAACACACCATGCTCCCTGTTGAACAGGATAACACTGCCCCCCTGTGTTCACTGCTTTTCCCCACCCTTGTAAACTTGGGAAGAGCCAAAGTGATCCTTATTTCTTGGAAGCAAAATCATCAGAATTCTTCATTCTTCAGCGATCTGATAGAGTTCAAGAAAGAAAAAAAAAAAAGACATATGTAAATCTTAGTATTCTTACTTGGATTATTAAGTTATTTGTACTTTATCAATTTCATGGCTATGATTTTTTCAACTAGAATAAGTGTGTTTAAAAGTGATGCAAAAATATCAAATAATAAATGAAAAGATAACAATTCAGCCAAGGAAGAAACCAGTCCATGAGGACTTAAATGTGGCCCATGTGACCCCAAAGTGCAGTCCATGTGAGACTTTAACAAATCACTTTTGCCCAATTAGTCAGTATCGCAGACCAGCAGCAGATGACAGCTCACAGCTGCTGCTGCATTCCAGGTGGTATCAGCATCATCTTCCTAGGCAACACTGGCACAGAATATATGTTGTACAAAGTACATCTGCAATAACACATGCTGAAAAAATTAATGGATCAAACCGCTCTGCATCTGAAGCTGAGTGAAATGACTTATTCTGAGCAATTCAAATTCAATTACACTAAAATTACAATCTGATATTGAAGGATTATGGACAAAAAGAAAACAAATTATGGGGCTCCCATTTTGCATCTTATTAGCTTTTGAGTTCTAACCAATACACATAAACCCAACTTGTATCATCATAACTTTCAAACAACTAGTCTTGCAATCTACTTACTGATGAATTTCTTGGCACATGAGAAATAAGGCAGTCCAAGATACGTTACATTTTATTTTATTTACTTCATTTTATTTTACTTTATTATATATTTTTTTCACATCAGACAGGTATTGTGCTGATGTTATAAGGTTTAGAGGTTTAGAGGGAGGCATATCTCACACAGACATGTATAAATTCAATCATCATGCTTATGGACCATAAAAGGGATCTGATACGTTGTATTTTAAAAAGCAAGATACAATGGGCACCAGTTCCAGTCCTGGCTGCTACACTTCTGATCCAGCTCCCTGCTAATGTGCCTGGGAAAGCAGTGGAAGATGTGCCCAACTGGGAGACCTGGAAGAAGCTCCTGGCTTCTGGCTTCAGCCAGGCCCAGCCAAGGATGGTGCAGCTATTTGAGGAGTGAACCAGTAATGGACAATCTGTGTGTGTGTGTGTGTGTGTGTGTGTGTGTCTACCTCTGTGACTCTGACTCTCAAGTAAATAAATAATATTTTTTAAAAATAATAAAATAGGGGCTGGCACAGCAGGTAAAATGGCCGCCTGCAAGGCCAGCATCTCATATCAGTGCCAGTTTAAGTCCAAGCTGTTCTACTTCCAATCCTGCTCTCTGCTAATGCATCTAGGAAAGCAGCAGAAGACAGCCCAAGTTTCTGGGCCCCTGTCACCTATATGGGAGACATGGAAGAGGCTCCTGGCTCCTGGCTCTGGCCTGGCCCAGCCCCAGCTGCTGCGGCCATTTGGGGAGTGAATCAGCGGATGGAAGACCACTCTGTCTCTTCCTCTCTCTCTCTCTCTCTCTATCTCTTTATCTCTCTCTGTAACTCTGCCTTTCAAATAAATAAATATTTTTAAAAATAAAAAAGCAACAGAGTTATAAATATATATTTATGTTTAATATACATATACTTCAACTTGCTTTTTAACAATTAATATCTCTTGGACTGCCATACATTTTTCATATGATCAGAAAACTAAAATTTAGTACATTCAATCAACCCTAAATACAGACACACACACATACACCTGTGTATAATACTAAGTACTAAATATTTTCACATATATTTAGTATATGTACTAAATGCATTTTAAAAGGTCTAAACAGATACACAACACATTGCTAATAGAAGTTATCTGCCAGGATTGTTGATGAATGAGGTTTCTGACTTATTATTTTTTATTTATTTAATTATTATATAAAGGAACAGATGTTGTGTATTTCATACATAGTTTTTTTGTTTTGTTTTGTTTTTGACAGGCAGAGTGGACAGTGAGAGAGAGAGAGAGAGAGAAAGGTCTTCCTTTACCGTTGGTTCACCCACCAATGGCCGCCGCGGCTGGCACATCGCGCTGATCCAAAGCCAGCCAGGCGCCTCCCCCGGTCTCCCATGCAGGTGCAGGGCCCAAGGATTTGGGCCAACCTCTACTGCACTCCTGGGCCACAGCAGAAAGCTGGACTGGAAGAGGAGCAACTGGGACAGAATCTGGCGCCCCGACCAGGACTAGAACCCGGTGTGCCGGCGCTGCAGGCGGAGGATTAGCCTATTGAGCCGCAGCACCAGCCTCATATATACAGTTTTAAGAACATAATAATACTTCCCACCTTCCCTTCTTCTTATTTTCCTTTTAATTTTTGTGATAACATGCTTTCAGTTTACTATATAATCACAAGCCTAGTCTTCCAATAAAGAATTCAACAAGTAGAAAGTGCACTGATCCTCAGGAATACAGACATGGGCTTCTCACGTCAATTTCACTCATATACATTATTATTTTGTGTATTCTATATATTAGCTACCACTTAACTTTCTATTCTATAAGCTTTTGTGTTAAAATTTTTACAGTGAGACTATTTACATATTGGCTAACTTTTTACAAATTCATGCAAATTTAAGTAAGACAAAAATCGGCATGTATCTACTTTACTAGCATATAAAAACAGAACTCATTGGTCAGTGGTTATATGTTTGAACATAAAATTGGGTCAAATAGAAAAAAATTTATGGAAAAAACTCAATGTCCTATTTTTAGCCTGTCACTTGTAGGCTGAAAAGCAGTTAGAGAACACTTTCTTTGTTCTATATATCAAAGAAAATATGACATATCCAAGAGCATCTCTCTCTAGACTCAGAAAGAGTAGGATTTATGTCTGTTTCCATGGGATCCCTTTGCCAAAGAACCAAGAAGCATAAATAACTACAGATACCTGGGCACACTGCACTTCATTGGAGTCTGACTGGCCCCAGTAAGATCCACAGCCTGCAGGGCTACACCCTCACAAAAGCTTCATCTCCCTTCTCCCATGCTCTCTTAAGAAAAAGAAAAGCTCACACAAAAATAAAATATCAGGACAGCATAATAAAACAGATGAAATATATGTAGGTATTGAGCATAACTGAGTAAACACTTCAGTCAAAATATCAGCAATATATAAGGAAGTGCAACGCTTATATCCAGGCATCATTCCACAAGTAATCAAAGGACACTGGCCATCACCTTGAACAGAACAAAGAAAGAAAGCATAATACAGGAAAATGAAAATTTTGAAGAAGTAAATTTTAACCTGAGTGTGAGAGCCCATAAAGTATGGTAAAAAAATTTAAAGCATTATTATACATTTGGTAAACATAATGATTCCAAATGATAATATCCAGCATTAGCAGGGATGTAAGGAATGAACTGGGATGTGGGGAAGGGTACAATATCCACTGGTGGTACAGCAGCATTTTTCTCTAGTTGACAAGATACAGTTCAATCAAGTAATTTCAGTCTTTGTAAATATACTAACAGAAAAAATGGTATTCATAAAAATGTGAAAGAACAAATCTAAATGTTCAGTAACAAGAATATTAACAACACTATGGGAAAATATATAGCTATAGAAAATGACAAGTAAACTACAAGTGTAGAATAAGAAAACTAAGAACCAAAACAATACATACACAATGTGCATGGCCCTGTAAAAACATATAAATAAACTAATGAAATTATTTAAAACCATCAAAAATAATGATGCCAACCTATGCTTTTAGAAATGACAATACGGAAGGCAGGCATTTAGCCTAGCAGGTAAGGTGCTCATATGCCACATTGATTCCTGGCTCCACCCCTGCTGGCAGGCAGAAGTGATGGCTGATGTAATTGGGTATCTGCTATGCATCTAGAAGACATGGACTGAGTTCCAAGCTCCTAGCTCTAGGCCTGGCCTAGCCCCAGCCACTGCTGGCATTTAGGGAGGGAATCAGTAAATGAGAGTTCTCTGTCTGCCTCTCTCTCTCTGTCTACTTCTCAAAGAAATACAAAAAACTTAAATTTTTAAAAAAGGAAATGATAATATAATAGAAAAACTAATAACAGAAGAAAATATGTGAGACAGTATAAAATAATTCATATGTGTGTATATGATTTTATCCACAGAGAAGTATCAAAAAACATGTTCACCAAAATGTAAACAAAAGTTCTTTCAGGATTATGTGATTTAGGGATGCTTTTTACAAGAAGGAAAAGCCATGAAGCTATCTGCGTTTTCATAAAGGAAAAAAATTAGAAAAGTTTAAAAATAAAGACCAGAAGAGCATTTTGAGTTTTTGGCCTCTCTCTCTCACACACATACACACACACACACTCAACTACTTAAAAAAAAAATGAAAAATGGAATTAAGAGATAATGCACATTTTCCCAAAATTTTGTATTGCCCTCACAAAACTACATAGATGACTCTAAAATCAGAGAGCCATACTGAGAGACTATGTATTTATGAGAATTGGCAGACTCTATCCTCTTCTCAAAGGCTTATATTTTATGTCACTCAAGACATACCACATGGGCCAGTGTTGTGTTGTAGTTGGTTAAGCCATAGCTTGCAACACCAGCATCCCATATTGGAGTGCTGGTTACAGTCCTGGCTACTTGGCTTCTAATCCAGCTCCCTGATAACGTGCCTGGGAAGGAAGCAGAACATGGTCCAAGTCCTTGGGCCCCTGCACCCATGTGGGAGACCAAGAAGAAGCTCCTAGCTCTGTCTTTGGCCTGGTCAAGCCCTGGGATTTTGTGGCCTGTTGGGAAGTAAACCAGAAGATGGAAGAGTCTCTCTCTCTCCTCCCCTCCCCCTCTTGCTTTACCTTTCAAATAAATAAATCTTGAAAAAAGAAAAAAAGACATACCATAAAGCAAAGGCACCACAGAACAGTCTGCCCTAGAGTCCCATGATTCTATCAGAGGGGCCAGTCATCTACGCACAACTACTCAACCCTGTCATTGCACCATGAAAGTATCTACAAACAATTCTTAAATAAATGAGTGGGCCATGTTCCAATAAAACTTTATTTATGCTTGGTGAAATTTTCACGTCACTAGTCTATTCTTTTAAAAAAAATTTGCAATCATTTAAAAATGCAGAAACCAAAAATAGCTTGTCAGTTCCCAGAAAGTTAAACAGAATTAGCCATATGACCCAGCAATTCTACCCTGAGGTTCATACTCAAGAAAACTAAAAATAAATACATAATTTATGTGTGAATGTTCATACCAGTATTGTTCACAACTTCCAAAAAGAACAACCCAAGCATCTAGTGGCTGATGAACAGATAAGCAAAATTTGGTATATCCATAAAAAACAGTATTATTCAGGCATAGGAAGAAATTAAGACCTGATACATGGCTGAAGCTTGAAAACATGCAAAGTGTTAAGTTGCCAGACATAAAAGGCTACAGGCTTTCATGATATGAAATGTCTACAGTAAGCAAATCAAGAGAAAAAGAAGGCAGATCAGTGGCAGCCAAGGACTTGAGGGAGAAATGGAATAGGAATGTGGCTGCAAATGAGTACATGGTTTCTTTCTGAGGGTATGAATATCTATGTATTTAGATAGTGGTGATGCTTGCAACAACCTTGTGAATATACTAAAAACAACTGAATTGCACATATGAAAATTGTAATTGTATGGTATAAGAATTCTATTGCAATAAAATGTAAAAGCTATTATTAGTTCACAGGCCAATCAAAAGCAGATGGCAGGTGCACATGCACACAAACATGCACACACATACACATCTGACTTACTACAACACAAAGGCCAAAATTTGAAACATGAAGTAGGACTGAAAAAAATCACTTTATGCTACTCACAGTTAGCTATATAAAAAAAAACAAAAAGTCAAAGAATCTGTTTATATTATGCTCACTGCCACCAAACTCCATAAAGTTATTCTTCTGAAAATGAACAAAATTCAATAGATTGCCAGGCAAAGTGAATCTTACATAAATTTACAAACATATAAAGTTTTATGTATTTAAAAACATAAATTTTAAATGCACAATCCCCATTTATTCATGCCAAAATCCTTTCAAAACTAAATTAAGCCAATGTAAATTTTTAAAATTTTAAAATTTGAGAGGCAGAGACAGAGAGAACCCATCTATTTTCTCCTCATAAGCCCACCACAGTTCCAGGTGAGCAGCTGAAGCCAGGAACTCAATCCACGTCTACCACATGGGTAGCAGGAACCCAGTCACTTGCTCCTGTTAGCAGGAAGGTGGATTCAGGAGCCGGAGCCAAGTATTGAACCCAGGTACTCCAATATGAGACACAAGTGCTTTAACTAACAGCATCTTAACTACAGGCTCAATGCCTGTCCCTAAGGCAATTTAGAAGTGCATTTACTGTCACATTACCTGGAGGCACTAGTTGAATTAATTCAAACCTGGTTAGGAAGCCTGAAAAGAAAAAATGATATTTTAATATTTCAGAAAATTGCCAGGTTTTAATTAATTGATGAGTTTAAAACTATCATAACATTCCATTTACATCAATAACATTTATTATTAACAATTACCCCAAAATTATTCCCAACAAACTCTTAAGGCTTTATAAACTGAAAGGAATGGAGTGGGGGGTAACAGAGCTTAGTCCCGGTTGGGGCCCCGGATTTCTGTCCCGGGTTCCCCTTTTTCCAGGCCAGCCTCTTCTGCTTGTGGCACGGGAGTGCAAGGGAGGATGGCCCAGGTGCTTGGGCCCTGCCCCCCCATGGGAAGCCAGGAAAAGCCCCTGGCTCCTGGCTCCTGCCATCGGATCAGCGCGGTGCGCCGGCCGCAGCGCGCCGGCCATGGCGGCCATTGGAGGGTGAACCAACGGCAAAGGAAGACCTTTATCTCTGTCTCTCTCTCACTGTCCACTCTGCCTGTCAAAAAAAAAAAAAAAATAGCATTTTACCTCCTGCAAAGTATTGACAAAAATGATTCAATATTTGTGTCTTAAAAGTACATGCATAAACTGTTGAAATCTTTACTTAATGTATGCTAAACTGATCTTCTGTAAAAAAAAAAAAAGAAAGAAAAAGAAGAAGAAATTATCAATTCCCAACTTGACTCTCACTGGGATTAAACATGACAATAGGTCTGATCTGATTTCATCATCATTTAAAAAATCATCTATTATTTTTCACTTTATATTTCTGTGTAGCAGCAAACTGTTGAAATCTTTACTTAATGTATGCTAAACTGATCTTCTGTATATAAAGAGAATCGAAAATGAATCTTGATGTGATTGGAAGGGGAGGGGGAGAGGGAGCGGGAAAGGGGAGGGTTGCGGGTGGGAGGGATGTTATGGGGGGGAAGCCATTGTAATCCATAAGCCGTACTTCGGAAATTTATATTCATTAAATAAAAGTTAAAAAAAAAAAAGTACATGCATAAAGCACTAAAATAATAATAAACTTTTCATTTTAAAAATTCAAAATCTAGGGGGCAGTGCTGTGGTGTAGCAGGTAAAGCCACCTCTTGCAATGCTGGCATCCCACATGGGTACTGGTTCAAGTCCCAGATGCTCCATTTATGATCCAGCTCCCTGTTAATGTGCCTAGGAAAGCAGTGGAAGATGGCTCAAGAGTGTGGGCCTAATAGGGGAGACCCAGAAGAAGCTCCTGGCTCCTGGCCTATCTCTGGCCATTACATTTGAGGAGTGAACCAATAGATGGAAGATCTCTCTATCTCTCTCTCTCTCTCTGCCTCTCTCTCTCTGTAACTCTCCCTTTCAAATAAATAAATAAATCTTTTTTTAAAAAAATCTAAATCTAATTGTTAGCCATTAACACATAAAAGTTAATCTTGCTTAAAACAATGTACTTTGTGATCACAAATTAGACATGGAACATAACTTTTTCAATATTTTTTAAGTTTGAAATACATTAGAAATTGATAAGGACAAAAATAAGATTTAAATTTTAAAGTTGAGCCGGCGCCGTGGCTCAATAGGCTAATCCTCCACCTTGCGGCGCCGGCACACCGGGTTCTAGTCCCGGTTGGGGCGCCGGATTCTGTCCCGGTTGCCCCTCTTCCAGGCCAGCTCTCTGCTATGGCCAGGGAGTGCAGTGGAGGATGGCCCAGGTGCTTGGGCCCTGCACCCCATGGGAGACCAGGAAAAGCACCTGGCTCCTGGCTCCTGCCAGGATCAGCGCGGTGCGCCGGCTGCAGCGGCGGCCATTGGAGGGTGAACCAGCGGCAAAGGAAGACCTTTCTCTCTTCTGTCTCTCTCTCTCACTGTCCACTCTGCCTGTCAAAAAAAAAAAAAAAAAAAAAAAAAAAAAAAATTTTAAAGTTAACTTAAAATAAATGATATAATAAAATCAATAAAAACTCAAAAATATTAGAAATAGAGAATAAAATTCTCACTTTTGTAGGCTTATGAAAAATATATGAAAGCATGAAGACAAAACTTTAAATGCCAAGAAACTTAAAAACTAAGGCAATCTGAAGTTTTAGGCTTTCAAAATAAGAGGGATAAATATATATTTGCCAACCATCACCCCAATGGTAACATTTCTTCTTTTTTTTTTAATTTTATTTAATGAACAAAAATTTCCAAAGTACAGCTATGGTTTACAATAGCTTCCCCCCCCCATAACTTCCCTCCCACCCACAACACTCCCCTCTCCCACTCCCTCTCCCCTTCCATTCACATCAAGATTAATTTTCAATTATCTTTATATACAGAAGATCAAGTTAGCATATATTAAGTAAAGATTTCAACAGTTTTCACCCACACAGAAACACAAAGTGTAAAATACTATTTGAGTACTAGTTATAGCATTAATTAAACACCTAAGAGTAATTGTGTATTAATTACAGAGTTCAACCAATAGTTTTAAGTAGAACATAAAAAATACTAAAAGGGTAAAGTACTAAGTTCTCTTTTTGTTTGTTTGTTATATAGTTTTTTTTTATTTAATAAATGTGAATTTACAAAGTGCAACTTGTGTATTGTTGTGGCTTCCCCCCCCACAACCTCCCTCCCTCCCACGGCCCTCCCCTCTCCCACTCCCTCTCCCATCCTGCCCTTCATCGAGTTTCATTTTCAATTACCTTCATATACTGAAGATCAACTTAGTATACACTAAGCAGGGATTTCAACAGGCTGTACTCACACAACCGCACAAGGTATAGGGTATTGTTCGACTAGTAGTGTTGTTTTTTAAGTTTCATAGTAGAACACATTAAGGACAGAGATCCTATGTGGGGAGCATGTACCCAGTGACTCTGTTGTTGATTTAACAATTGGCACTCTTATTTATGATGTCAGCAATCACCCGAGACTCTTGCTATGAGATGTCTAGGCTATGGAAGCCCCTTGAGTTCACCAACTCTGAACTTGTTTAGTCAAGGCCGTATCACAGTGGAGGTTCCTTCCTCTCTTCAGAGAAAGGCACCTCTCTCCTTGATGGCCTGTTCCTTCTGCTGGGGTCTTGTTCACCAGGATCTTTCATTTAGATTGTTTTTTGCCACCGTGTCATGGCTTTCCATGCCTGTGAGACTCTCATGGACCTTTTAGTCAGATCCGAATGTCCCAAGGGTTGATTCTGAGGCAGGAGTGCTGCCATTCTGAGTCTGCTGAGTGTCCTGTTTTCCCCACAGGATAATTCTCTCCCTTTTAATTCTATCCTTCATTATTTGCTTACACTGGTCTTATTTGTGAAATCTCATCTACACATACCCTTTTTGATCGGTTGTGTATTTATACTTATCACTTTACCAAGTGCGTTGGCATTGGTATTTTTTCTTTAACATGGCTATTTATATGTTTTTATTTTTATTTATTTGAGTGGCAGAGAGACAGACAGGCAGAAATTTCCATCTGCTGGTTCATTCCCCCAAATGCCTGCAATACCCAGCCAGGACTGGGCCAAGCCAAAGCCAGGAATTCCATCTGTCCCAAGTGGTGTTAACCACTGTACCAAACAGCTGCCCCCTTCCCCTATGGTAACAACAAGCACTTAATTAATTCTCATGACAACCCTATGAGTCCAGTATAACAGCAATCCTAATCTGTATGAATAAGGAAATTAAATCTCAAAGAGCAAAGTACAGTAATGTGGGCAAAGTCACATGGGACACTAACGACAGGGCTTGAACCCAAGTAGTCTGCTCCCAGAGCCTGGGCTCTTACATTTCATTGAAAAATCTCACAAAGCAAATTAATTTCAATGCTTTATAAAATAGCTACAGCTTTTAATTACCTGCTAGAATAGCATAACATATTTTAAGCTTATTTCAAATATCAAGGACAGAGTAAATCACTACTCAGTGACCTACAAAACTGTTCTCAAGCTCTTATAATGCTCAGCCTACCCAGGGTTACTATGTGGGAACTGACAGGGAAATTCTAATTCCTGAACACTCATTTGAAATGCTGATTTTTCTCTAGGGGATTTAAAAAGGCTTGGAGAATCAGCACTCCTATCAACATGATCCGTATCAGAAAGATGTTTCAATTTCCTATCTAGTATTCAGGTGGAAATGTAAATACAGTAGATCAATCTGGGAATTACATCAACTTCTTAAAAGCTTAAATTCCAAAGGCACCATTTTGTTAGCAGTGTCTTAAACCCTACTGCCTTGATATCTTCCTGAGACATATAAGTTTAGTGCTCAAAGAAATACATTTGACCTGTTAACTGAGAAAACAGCTCTAAAAAAGGGTAAGACCTTTGGAGGTTGTTCCTTTTAAGATTCCTCTTTCAGGGCTGGCACTGTGGCATAGTGGATAAAGCCACCCCCTGCAGTGCCAGCATCCCATATGGGTGCCAGTTCAAGTCCCAGCTGTGCCACTTCTGATCCAGCTCTCTGCTATGGCCTGGAAAAGCACTTGAAGATGGCCCAAGTCCTTGGGCCCCTGCACCCTCGTGGGAGACCTAGAGGAAACTCCTGGCTCCTGGCTTCGGATAGGGGCAGCTCCAGCCGTTGCGGCCAACTGGGGAGTGAACCTCTCTCTCTCTCTCTCTCTCTCTCTCTCTCTCTCTCTCTCTCTCTCTGCCTCTCCTTTTTTCTCTGTGTAACTCTGACTTTCAAATAAATAAATAAATCTTAAAAAAAAAAAAAAAGATTCCTCTTTCTTAGTCTACCTGCCCTGTGTTGCTCTGGGTTGTCTCAAGGACTTTTCTGGTTTGTTTCTTGGTTTTTGGTTTTGTTTTTTATATTTTATTTATTTATTTGAGAGGCAGAGTTATAGACAGTGAGGGAGATACAGAGATAAAGATCTTCCATCAACTGGTTCACTCCCCAAATGGCCCCAATGGCCAGAGCTGGGCTGATCTGAAGCTAGGAGCCAAGAACCTCCTCCAGGTCAGGTCTTCCCATACTGGTGCAGGGACCCAAGCGCTTGGGCCATCCTCCACTGCTTTCCCAGGCCCTAGCAGAGAGCTGGATCAAAAGTGGTGCAGCTG